GTAATTGAAAGAAACTTACACATACAAAAAGTCTAGAAAGCAATGTAATGGACATCTGTCTCCCCAGGCTAAGCCGTGCCTAAAGAAGCACCTTAGCTTTTGCCTTGTTTTTGTCAGGATGGTCTCCTTTACCCTTCACCCCTCCGCCTGCTCTTCTCAGCTCCTCTCTCTCCCTCCCTTCTGTAAAGTATTAAGTTTAAGGACTTCCCTGGTGCTCCAGTGGTTAAGAATCTGCCTTCCAGTGCCGGGGACGTGGGTCCGATCCCCAGTCAGGGAACTAAGATCCCACATGCCGCGGGGCAACGAAGCCGGTGTGCTCTAGAGCCTGTGTGCCACAACTACTGAGCCCATGTGCCACAACTAGAGAGCCTGCGTGCTGCAACGAGAGATCCCTCATGCTGCAGCTAAGACCTGATGCAGCCAAATAAATAAATATTTTTTAAAAAATTAAAAGAAAAAAGTATTAAGTTTAGTGCTGGCGAAGATGAGGAAGTCCCCTTCAGGCTGCCTCTACCGCTGGTTACAGGTAAAAACTCTGGACAAAATATTAAAAGAAAAAGTATGCAGGGCTTCCCTGGTGGCGCAGTGGTTGAGAGTCCGCCTGCCGATGCAGGGGACACGGGTTCATGCCCCGGTCTGGGAAGATCCCACATGCCGCAGAGCGGCTGGGCCCGTGAGCCATGGCCGCTGGGCCTGCGCGTCCGGAGCCCGTGCTCCGCAACGGGAGAGGCCACAACAGTGAGAGGCCCGCGTATCGCAAAAAAAAATCAGAATCCAGTTGTAAAAAAAAAAAAAAAAAAAAAAAAAAAAAAAAAGTATGCAGAAGGCAATAGGTTGGAAAGGGCAGTTGAAACTTGAATCAGTGACCACACGTGTGAGTTTTCCATTTTTTCACTCTTCCTCCTCGTGGCTTTGACCGTAGGCCAGTTCCCAGTTGTGGGCCTGGGCAGTGAGGGCTGCTGTACCCCATCTTTCTGCCTGTAGCAACTATGAAAGGGGCCCCAACAAGCAGGGGCATGTGAGAGAGGCTAAGGAACTAGAATAATCCAAACAGTTTTGGAAAAAAAACAAAGTTGGGGGACTCTAGCAGATATCAAGACTTACTATGGAGCTATAATCAAGGCAGTGTGAAACTGGCAAAGGATAAATGCATAATCAGTGGGACAGAATGGACACTCCCCAGATAGGCCCACACAAATGTGGTCTGTTAGTTTTTGACCAAGGTGTGTGCAAAGGCAATTCAGTGGAGAAGGGACAGCCTTTTCAACAAGAAGTGTTGGAAAAACCAGACCTCCATCTGCGAGAAAGGGAAACTTGACTATACTTTGTATGTTATATAAAAATTAACTCAAAATTGATCGTAGATCAAAAGTAAAACCTCAAACTTTGAAACTTCTAAAAGAAAACAGAAAATCTTTGTGCTCTTGGGTTAAGCAAAGCATTGTTAGATATGACACCAAGAGAATGATCCATAAATGAAAAGGTGGCAAGTTGGAATTCATCCAGATATAAAGTTTTTTTTTTTTTTTAATGTGGACCATCTCCAAGGTCTCTGCTGAATTTGTCACAATGCTGCCCCTGCTTTACGTTTGGTTTCTTGGCCTTGAGTCACGCGGGATCCCAGCTCGCCGACCAGGGACTGAACCCACACGCCGCGCATTGGAAGGTGAAGTCTCAACCACTGGACTGCCAGGGAAGTCCTGTCAGAGTTTAAAACTGCCGTTCTCCTGAAGACTGGTAAGAGAATGAAAGACAAGCCACAAAACTGCGAGAAAATGCCTGCGAATTACATATCTAACAACGGGCTTCTAACTACGATGTGGAAGGAACTCTCAAAATTCAGTAAGAATACAAATTACTCCTCAAAAAAGTGAACAAAAGATTCTAGCAGACACTTTGCCACAAAAGATGTACAGTTAAAATGTAGGCACGTGAGAATACCCAGCTGGTCAATACGAAAGTGCAAATTAACCCACAGTGAGGTGGCACATCTCTCAGCACAGCTATGATTAAAAATTCATTAAATAGGGGCTTCCCTGCTGGCGCAGTGGTGGAGAGTCCGCCTGCCGATGCAGGGGAAGCTCAGGAAACTTGGGTTTGTGGAGTTGGGTTACTGTGTGGAACTCAATTCCTCCTTGGAGTTTGTAGAAAAATTAAAAATTTGCCTCTGTGTAGAGAAAGCCATGTACCAAAATAAATCCATTTGGAAGTTTGATGCTACATAGTTCCCTTTGGTTGCAAAAGATTTAAATCTGTGGCACCCTATTGTTTGTTCTCCTGTTTGGCATATCTTTTCCCTATTGTGTCTGGTTTCTTAGATACATAATAACATGAGATAAAAATGATCCCTCCCAAAAAAAAAAAAAAAAAAAATCATTAAATTTTGAAAAGACCCTCCAAACCAAGTGCTGTCGAGGATGCAGCTCTCACACACTGCTGGTGGGAATGCAGAGCACTGCAGCTGCTTTGGTAAATGGTTTGGCAGTTTCTTGTAAAGTTGACCCGTACTTACTAAATGACCCAGCAGACCCCTTCTGAGGTATTCGCCCAAGAGAAATAAAACAGGTTTACACAAATACCTGTGTGTATATCTTTATAGTGTCTTTATTCTTAACTGCTAAAACCGTGAATGACCTGTTTCCCAACTGATGGGTGGATAAACAGGTACATTCATGCCGTACAATTAACTACACAGCAGTAAAAAACATGTTACTGATACTCCCAAGACATGGGTACATCTCAGATGCATTGTGCTAAGTAAAAGAAGCCAGACTCAAGAGGTTCTTTGGGGTACAAGTCCATTTATGGGACAATCTGGAAAGGGCAAAATGACAGTAACAGAAAACACAAGCGGTGGCCAGGGTTTGGGTCGAGGAAGGCCTGCCCACAAAGGGACTGCTCGGGGACAGAACTACTTTGTGACTGGGGCCATGGTTACACGCCTTGTGCATTTGTCTAAATCTCAGCGCTGGCACCAGACGGAGTGATTCTTCCTGTGTGTAAACTTTAAAAAGTGGGTCCAGTGAGAGATTAGAGATACAGATGAGAGCTAGAGCCCCATCCGCACCCGTCCTCCACCCCTCCCTGCCTGGGTCACTGCAGTGCTGTCCTGTTTGTGTTACTGTGCTCTCACTGGTGTATGTGTGTACATCAGTGGTGCGACACGATGCGTGTCTTTCTGCACTTGATCCATCCCTCTCAGCGTTGTGCCTCTGAGTTTATGCATGTAGGTTGTTTCATCTGTTGTCATGTACTGTCTCAGTCTGCTCTGGCTGCCACAACAAAATGCCACGGGCTGGGACCTTAGACAACAGGACTGTATTTCTCACAGTCCTTGGAGGCTGGAAGTCCCAGATCAGGGTGGCAGCCAGTTCAGTTTCCCGTGAGGCCACGTCCTGGCCTGCAGACACAGCAGAGGGAGGGAGCACGCCGGTCCCCTCCTGTCAGGGCACCGATCCCATCCTGGGACCCACCCTCCCGGCCTCCTCTAACCCTAGTCACCTCCAGAGGCCCCACCTTCTATCCCGTCCCCCGGGGTGGGGCTCGACATGCGACACATGCATATTCGGGGCACAGACAGTCCACAGCCCCTGGTAGCAGCTTCCTTAGTGGTTAATAATGTGCCACCTGTCAGTCAGAACGTGTGTGGCTTTCAGTGTCGAGGTGAACTGCTCCACGAGGCCCGCAGTCCCCACCTCGTGTGCGCCCTGGGGCTGGCCGCCTAGGGGTGGGCGCCGCAGCGCTGCCCAGCTGCTGAGTGGTTTCCCGGTGGCTGAGGTGCCCTGCACCCCCTGCCAGCTTCTGCGTCCCCCACGCCCTCGCTGCCTGTGCAAAGCTGACCTCTCATTGGCGCCCTTGGCACCTCCCGGGCTGCTGCGTATCTTGTACGTGTATCCGCACTTTGTCCTTCCTGTCCGGAAGTCCCCGTGAGCCTCCCTTCTGCACTCTGGGGGCGGGGTTCTGGTTTTGTCTTGTCCTGGGAGGCTCGGCTGTTAGTTTTGGCGTCCAGCCGCCCCTCGGAGCTCCTCCGCCTCGCTCTCACTCGCCCTCGGGCTCCTGGCGCTTTGCCAGGGCCGGCAGTGTCCTGTTCAGGGTGAAGACCAGGGCGCCCTTTCGCTTCCAGTCTTCCCTCTCGGGGGGGTTTACCACTCGGGCCCCCCGTCCGAGGGAGCCCTGGCGTCCTGCGCTCCGGACCGCCTCCAGCTCCGTCCCGGGCGCCTCGGCACGGTGCTTCCCGTACGCCACCGCGGGGCATCCCGTCCTCTCTGATAGCGTCTGCGGGTGACTCCAGCCCCGACCTCTCTCCCGACCTCTCGATGCTGGCCCTCTGCCCAGGCAAGCTCCGTGGCAGAGGACGCGCGCTGCCCTTCAGCAAGGAGCCTGGTGCCTCCCAGCGGCCACAGCCCGCCCCCCCGGAGTTCCCGCTGCGGGGCCCCGACTCCGTTCCCCGGAGGCACTGGCATCTCTTCTGCCCGGAGCCCCGTCAGCTGGCACCTCACTTGTCTTCCCAGCCCACCTCTGATACTGAGTTGTCCAGGGAGCTCTGCCGTGGGGGCTTCGCTGGCGGGTGCCCGACCAGTCCCCCAGGCCGCCTGCCGACAGGAGGAGCGAGAGCGCCCTCCAGCGGGGCAGCAGCCGGGGCAACTGGCTTTCCACGCAGGACCTCGATTCCCCCAAAGGTCGCATCACGGCTGTGATGCAGGGTGCAGTGGGGAGCAGGGACACGGTGGTGTCCGGTTGGGGTCGAGGGTGTCACGCCCAGCCCCGGAGCACCCACCACACGTGCTGTCCCTAGCGGGGACACGGTCGCAGGGTGTGTCTCCCAGGTCACAGGCCCCTCCCTCTTCTGGAAGTCTGGCTGGGAGAGAACGGGGCAGAGGAAGCAGCGGCAGGGCCCCTCTGCACAGCCCCGCCCAGCAGGGTGGCTCCTCCCAGGCCCCCCGCCCTGAGTCACGGCCCCCAGGAGCACCCCACGGGCTCAGACCCATGCTTCTAACCAGGCACCGCCATGTCTGGGCCCCGGACCGCAGAGCCGGCCCTAGGTGGGCAGGGAGCCACCTCCACGGGCTCTCAGCACGAGGACGCAGCCGACGGGATCCAGAGCTCGCACCGCATGCTCAGCTTCAGCGACGCGCTCCTGTCCATCATTGCCACCGTAATGGTCCGTGCGGGGCCCGCGGCCACTGGGGGTGTGGGGAGGAGCCGCCCAGCACTGGCCTGCGCGCCCGGCACGTGGCGTCCAGGAAACAGTTGGTGCCCAGCCCAGGAAGTGTTCCCGGGTTCGTGTTGTGTCTGTTCTCCTAGATCCTGCCTGTGACCCACACGGAGATCTCCCCAGAACAGGTACTTGGGAACAGTCTGCAGTGTCTGGCGTGCGGGCGAGGGTCCAGGAGGCTCAGGCCCTGAGCTCGAGGCCGGGCTCCACTCGGGCGTACCCGGCTGGGAGGGCCAGGCCGTCCGCCGCGTTCCCCGGTGATGCCATCCAGCCCCGGTGCCCTCGCGCTGAGCCCTGAGCAATGCAGGAGCGCCTGGAAGCTGGCGCGGACTGTGCCGGCAGGCGTGGCGGGGAAGCTCCCTGGGCTCTCTGTCTGTCGCGCTGGCGTGCCCCTCAGAGCAGGTGCTTGGGGGCAGAGGGCGGCCGGCCTGCTGGGCGTGGGCCTGCGCCATGAGCAGGGAGGTAAGTGGGAAACGAGGTTTTTGTAAAGCAGAGTTTCCATTGCTAGTCAATTTGGAATATTTCCATTTTATAAGTAAAATAGCCACACGTCGCAGCACCTCAGAAACCGGACGTGATTCCGGGAGACGTTCGGAGTTCACGGGCGTGTGTGTGTGCGAGCACGGCTCTCTGGGCCCCTCACGTTGAGCGGGTGTCACCTCTGGGCTCCAGGATGTGCAGTGCTGGCCCAGGACGTGTGGCCGTGGTCTGGCTGCAGCCCAAGCAGCACACTTAGCCCGGACACTGCCGGGAGTCATCTGCGGGAGGTGATATCGCTGCTTCCCGTAGGGTTTGGATGAGAATTAAACAGAAATGACGGTCGAGCCTAACCTTGGCAACTGGCACCTGGCACGGTGAGCAAAGGGCCCTGTGTGGCTTCCTCTGGTCTGGGGCACCCCGTCCCCAAAGGGGACCTGGGGGCTGCGCTCCGGCCAAGCTCAGGAAAGACGTGTGCCCACCGGGGGCCTCGACGCTCCCCTGGCTGTGCCTGCTCCAGAGCCTTCTGGGGACCTCGGTGCCGCCAGTCTCAGAGCAGGGTGGTGGGTGTGCACGTGAGATGTGGGAGGGGATGGGATGCGTGGGCCTGGAGCTCCTTGCCTCTCTGCGGTCGGGATCGTGACCTCTGTTGACCCACGAGAGGGCTCTGAGCCAGAAGGTTCTGCGGAGGCGGGGAGACCCCTTCAGGGAAGGTGCCGAGGACGGTCCTGACATGAAGGAGAAGGTTCGTCAAGGCCAGAGGGACCCAGGGATCTGGAACGGTGCTGCCCGTGTGGTCTCAGAGGAGCAGCAGACATGGGCAAGGCGCCCTCTCCCGGCCTGGGCCCAGCTTCCTGCGCAGCCCGTCGCCTGGCGTCCAGACGCCGCGGCCCTCTCACCGGGCCTCGCAGTTGCTTCGGGATCACTTACCCGGCGACGCCGTGACTTCGTGCGGCCTCACGGCCTGTGGCCACCCTGCCAGGATCCTGGGAGAGGCTCGACGAAGACCTCTCTGCCTCCAGAGCTGGCATTTCGGGGGGCCTGCCATGTTGGGAAGATGGGGGGCCTCCGCAGGGGCCTCAGGGACAGCCCGGGACTGAGGCTGAGCCTTGGTGGGGGGAGGCGAGGGCTCCCAGGTTCTTCTCCGGCCCCCCAGGGCCTGGTGCCCGGGCGGTGGGGCCGCCGGCTGCCGTGGGTGAATCTGCGTCTGATGGTGACACTCTTCGGTTCCAGGAGTTTGACAAGAGTGTCCAGAAACTTCTAGCGACGAGGATCGCTGTGTACCTGATGACCTTCCTCATCGTGACCGTGGCCTGGGCGGCACACACGAGGTATGGGCAGGCTGGGGCCTGCTTCTGGGCTGGCAGCCACATCTTTGTGGCTGGCTGGGTGTGTGCCGAGCAGGTGTGGCCTCGCCCTGGCCGAGGGTCAGGGTGGCAGTGGGGGTGCACTCAGCGCTGATGAGCTGTCCTCAGGGTGGATGGCGGCCCCACTCTCTGGGGCTGAGTCACGAGGGGTCAAGTTAGTGGGCTGCCCCTCCCCTCCCCTCCCCTGGCCCTCCCTGCCGAGTCAAGCCTCTGCTTTCTCCTCTGCACACTGCAGCAACAGGGCTTACACCCCAGGCCCGGGACGATGAACGGGGTGCCCGGGCCGCCGTGAGCCCGGGCAGGGCAAGGGCAGGGCTGTGGGCTGACCACCTCTGCTGCACTGTGACACACATGCTGTGCACGGCCCCTCCGTCCCGGTCCCTGGACTCTGGTGAGGAGGCTGGGGCCTCGGGACACACGCTCCAGGGCCCGAGCTCTCTGTTAAGGAGGAAAAGGTTCCTTAGGACCCAAGGGGGACAGGGCTCCAGAGCTGTGGGCGTCACCTGAGCCCCCGACGGGGCACAAGGACCAGGAGGACCCCCGGAGGTGGGTGGGGATGGGCTGGGGTGCTGGCGTCTCGGTTACAGAACGCCCCCCAGCAGTGCAGAGCTCCCCAGTGAGGGGAGAAGGCCACATCCTCGTGGGTAAGAACCCTGGGGGGACTGTGTGGGGGGCCGGGGAGGGGCTGGGGCCTTGGGGGCTCTGCCTGCTTCCGGCCTCCGTTTTCAGGCTTCTGTCCACGTCTTTCCGTCTCGGTGTGAGACCATCTCTGTCGTGTGAGTGTCTGTATTTGGTGCCGTTAGAACCATGGTTACTGACAGCATGACTTCTCCTGTTTTCCTTGAATTGTTAAGATTGTTCCAAGTTGTGGGGAAGATAGACGATACGCTTGCCCTGCTTAACCTGGTGAGTTTCTCCTTTGGTTTCTGCCTGTGCTCAGCTCCCCGGTGGGTGCCCCTGGGTGTGCGGGCTGGGACGCGCCCACTCCCAGGGCCCCGCACGCCGCCCTCAGCGCCCCTCCCTCCCTCCCTCCCTCCCTCCCAGGCCTGCATGATGAGCATCACCTTCCTGCCGTTCACAGTGAGTCACAGGGATTTCTGCCCCCACTTCCACCTGGGGGTCCAGCCTGCCCTCCACTGCACAGGAGGGCTCTGACCCTAAGGTGCTCCCTTCTCAGAAGCTCTCAGAGCACTGGGAGGCCCAGGGCCTGGACCACGGGGTTGCAGAGAGGAGAGAAGTTTCCTGGGGAAGGGCCGACCCTGGGTTTCCAGGCTGGACGGAGTGGAGAGGCTTCCAGGGCCCCAGGCAGGGTTCTCAGGGCCAGAGACCAGCCTGGCCTCCAGGGGCGCAGTGAGGGGTGCCCTCTCCGTGCTCCCTGAGGCTCTTGGCTCCTGCCTGAACCCCCGGAGCCCACGGCCTCCTGGCCGACCTGGGCTCGTCCCCAGCACGTGACCCCTCCGTCTCCTCACCCCGCAGCTCCCTCTGATTCTGACAGGGAGCGGGGCTCTGGGTACGTAGCACATCGCGGAGAACTGGGGTCTGGGGAGTCTGTGAATGTGATAAGCGTGCAGCTTTAAAGGCTTCCAGCACTGGGTGGGATGGCTCTTGTGAGAGAGACGCCTCCAGGGCTCGGGCCGCTCCCACCCAAGACAGCTCTGGGCTCTGCTGCTGAGCGGCGGAGCCCAGCTGCCGCACGGGGCTCACGGGCCCTGGGGCCCTGCGGCCCTGATTCTGGGGTTTTTCCGGCTGCAGTTTTCCTTGATGGTGGCCTTCCCCGAGGCGCCTTTGGGCATCCTGCTGTTCTGTGTGTGTGTGATGGCCGTCGGGGCCGTGCAGGTAGGACGCGGGCGCCCCGCCCCCACACCCGTCCTTGTGGAGCAGGGGAGCGCGTGCGGGGCCGCCCGTGGTGGGAGCCGTGCAGACGCCACCCGCCACGCAGCGCCTGCCACGGGGCACCCGCGTGGGCCACGGCAGGGCAAAGCCAGAGACGCTCGGGGCCTGGGCTTCCCGTGCTGACGGGGAGAGAGAGTGAAATGGGGCCGCCGGCACCCTCAGGAGGGGCTTTGTGAGACCCACACCCGACCCCCAGAGCAGAGCGAGGGCTCCCGTCCACTCTGCACCCCCAGAACATCCTGCAGCGAGCCCCGCCCGAGACCCCGCTCGCACCCTGCAGCCTGCCTCTCCCGCAGGCGCTGATCGTGGTCTACGCCTTCCACTGCCCCCACCTGCTGAGCCCCCAGATCGAGTGCTCGGCCCACCGGGCCCTCTACCGGCAGCGCATCCTGGGCACCGTTCTCCGGGGCCCGGCGCTGTGCTTGGCTGCGGCCGGCTTCTCCCTCTTCTTTTATCCAGTGGTGAGTCGGGGTGGGGGGGCCGGGGGTTGCGCGGGGGGCCCACCGGGGGGCTGCTCTGCCGGGAGGAGCCCGCGTGGGCAAACACGGCGCACGCCCTGTGGGCCTGGGAGGTCGCGTGCCTTCTAAAGACGTGCGTGCATAGGAACGTGAGCCGCCAGAAGAGAGAGAAAGTGGAGAGAGAAACTCCAGAGCAGGAGAGACTGGAGTGGGGAGGGGGAGGTGCAGGCGTGGGTGGAGCCGGGCGAGGGCCGGGCGGACGCACCCCCGCGTCCAGGGAGCGATGGCGGCCGCGCGGGCAGAGCCGGCGGGACCCCGTCCACGGCGCCCTCGAGCCTGCAGGTTGTGCTTTTCTGTTTTAAATTTACTCATTTCTTATTTACTTCTTTTTACTGGAGTGTAGTTGCTTTACACTGTTGTGTTAGTTTCTGCCGTGCAGCAAAGCGAATCAACTCTACGCACACACACATCCCCTCTTTTTGGGATTTTCTTCCCGTTTAGGTCACCGCAGAGCACTGAGTAGGGTTCCCTGTAGGTTCTCATCAGTCAGATCTTTTCTCTACACGGTATCAGTAGTGTATACGGAGGGTCCGTCCTGGCCGAGCTGCCGGCGCTGAGCCCGCAGCTGACTTGACAGGCATGTTGTCCTGGTGCGGCTTCCATCATCCAGGAAGGGGAAGGGAAACCCTAGCGGGCCGCCGTCTCACAGCTGGTTGTAGGAGCCTGACGCACAGCTCCTGCCTTTAACTGAGCTCTAGTGAAGTGAACCTTTACACCCAAAGCATCACAAGACGTGTGGAAAAATGAACGGTTAACGGTACTTTAAAAAACATCTAGTAAGTGTTTCAAGAGAATTCCAAGTTTAAAACAAACAGGATGGCAAGGCCTGCAGAGCCGCACCCTGGAGGATGGAGCTGGGGGCCGGGGTCCAGTGTCCAGGGCGCCCCCGGTCAGGCCACGGGTGGGTAAAGGGGAGGGTGGACGCTGGCGTGTGAGGTGGGGCCGGGCCTCGGGCTTCTACTCGGTCCCCTCGCCGTACAGTGGCTGAGCCTCTCGGGTGGGCCCCGCTCCTCTAGGGCGGGAGGGATGCTGCGGGGGCCCTCGGGGTCAGGCGGGGTGTCCCAGGGTGGGGCTGGCGAGGGGGCGGCACGGAGAGACAGCAGGGCAGGACTGAGGGGCCCACTGCGTCCGGGCTTCCGGTGGGATAGCCCCTCTTGGCTCTGGGGATGAGGTCAGGGGCTGAGGGGTGGTGAGAGTCGTCGCGTGGAGGACGGAGGGCACAGCTGGGATGTGGTGCGTGTGGCCTGGGTCAGGAGAAGCAGGCAGAGCTGAGGCCCACGGGGGCTGTGCCCACCGGCCGGGCCTGGACACTGGCCCCGGGAAGGCCTGGGGCAGGCAGACAGGGCCCCGCGCGCTGCCGGGGCCGCGATGAGCCTGCGCGGTGGCCACACCCTCACGGGACAACAGTAGTGGGAGGTGGGCGCTGGGCCGCCACACTGGGGAGAGGAGGGTCCTCAGTGGGGCGGGGCGCCTGCGGCCTTGGAGGGGGCGGCCGGCCACTCCTCTGTGCTGCGCCTTTCGCCCCCCCTCCATCCCTCCCGCTCCTTCCCCACAGTGGGGGTCTGACCCCTCGTCCCCTGTGAGACGAGGCATGTCAGAGCCTCCTGGCCCCCAGGCCCACCCCCTGCAGCCTCCCCACGAGCCCACGGCCATCCTTCCAGGTGTCCTCACCAGCCCCTCCCCTCATCTGGGACGCTGTGCGGGGTCCACCTTCCAGGGCCAGCCACTGCTCACTGCCCTGGCCCAGGCCGTCCTGACCTCCCTCTGGACCACCTTTCACCACTGGTGACACTCGGGGCCCAGGGCCTCCCATGCCAGCTTCCTGTGCCGGCTGCTCCCAGGACTCGCGCTCCTGCAGACCTGGGCAGGTCCCCACGGCCATTTAGGTCTCCCCCCACCCCGGGACTCAGGTTCCCCCTCGGGCTGTTCTGTTCCCTCCTACCTCGCGGCGTATGTGCACACACACAACACACGCCGATCCTGCGTGGCCACCGTCGCCCCCCGGGGCCTCTGCACTCACCTGCCAGGCACCTGGGACACTCCCCCCCTCGGTGTGTGTGTGTTGAGTGACGTGTATGGTGTGGTCTTCTGACGGGTGGAGACTGGAGGTCCTAAGCAGAGCTGTGATGCCGGCCGCCCCCCGTCTCTGTCCCCGAGGTGCCTGTCGTCTCCTGAGTCCCCTCACCAGGCCAGGTGCCAGGTGACCTTGAAGCATGACTGTGAAGGACGGGGTGGAAGCCCTTCGCTGAGAGGGGCCACCGGCCGAGGCGACAGGGCTGGGCGAGGAGCCTTCTGCGGCCACCTCGGGCCCGGGGGCACGCCTGGCCCGCCAGCCTCCCTGTTTAAAATAACTGGGTGTCCGCGTAGCAAAAAATTGACCACTGTGACCATTTTATCTGTGGCGTGCAGCTCGGCGGCATTGACCGCCGACATCGCCGTGCATCACCTCCCTCTGGTTCTGGGACTTTTCATTCCCCCGAGACAGAAACCCTGAACCCATGAGCAGCCACTCCCTGTCTCCCCACCCCTCAGTCCCGGGAAACTGCGAGTCTACTTTCTGTCTGTAGGGATTTGCTTATTCTGGTTCCTTCGTATAAATGGAATCATGAAATAGAAGGCTTCTACGTCTGGCTTCTTTCACTCGGCATGTTTTCAAGGTGCGTCCACGTTGCCGGTGTCAGGATTCCCTTCCTTTTCATTAGCCGGTAGTACCCCACTGTGTGGATGGGCCCCATCACCCACCCACGGACACTCTGTGGCTGCTGTGAGCATGGGTGTGCCCCTGCTTTCCGTGCTTTTGGGTGTGTGCTCAGAAGTGGACTTGCCGGGTCCTGTGGCAATTCCCCGTTTAGTTTCTGAGGAACCTCCCCACTGTTCTCCAGCAGCAGCAGCTGCGCCATTTACGTTCCCACCGACAGCGCACAGGGCTCCAGCCCCACCCCACCCCACCCCACCCCAGCACGGCTGCTTCCTGTTCCCGCTGGGAGCGTCCCGAGGTGTGCGCTGCTCTCCTCGTGGTTGTGACTGGCATTTCCCTGAGTGTTAGTGGTGCTGAGGGCCTGCCCACACGTGTCGGGGCCGCATCTCTCTTCTTTGGAGAAATGTCAGTTCAAGTCCGTGGCCCATTTCTCAGTTGGGTCATTTGTCTCTCCGTCGTGGAGCTGTCGGGGTTCCTTATGAAGCCTGGATAGTAACCCTTACCAGGTGTGTGGTCTGCAAACATCTCCCGTTCTGTGCAATGTCTCTTCACCCCCCGGTAATGTTCTTCTATGCACAGAAGGTGTCTGTCTTGATGACAGGTGATTCACCAGTTTCGTCTCCTGTTGCTCGAGCTGCAGTCCCTTCTGGGCGGGCGGCTTTGGGGTGGGATTCCTGGCTGGGCCCCTCGGTGGAGGCACCACGCGCCCTGACGTGCCCTGTGCCCTGTCTCGTGCAGTCGTACCTGCTGATGGCGACAGTCATCTTCCTGCCCTACGTCAGCAAGGCCGCCGGCTGGTGCAGAGCCAGGCTTGTGGGTAGGTGCCGGGCGGGGCTGGAGTGTGGGGCGCTGGGGCTGCCGCCGCCGGGGCCTGCAGAACACGGGCCGGGCAGGCGGCGTCCCTGAGGGGCCTCCTAGCTGGCCTGAGGCCCTGAGGGCTTGGCTGCCTCTCCCACAGGCCCCAGGGAGCCCCCGGCTCACAGCCTGGAGATATTCACCTTTGACCTGCACGAGCCGCTCAGCAAGGAGCGGGTGGAGGCCTTCAGCGACGGGGTCTACGCCATTGTAGCCACACTGCTCATCCTGGACATCTGGTGAGGACCCGCCGGGCCAAGACTCCTCCGCCAGTCCCACAAAGGCGCCGAGGTCTCCCGGCCCACCCTCCCCAAGGGGCTCCCACCTGAGAACCCACCTGAGAAGGGCCCGGTCCTCGTCCTTCCCAGAGCTGCACACGCAGGGCGGGCGGCCCCCAGCTCCCCGCGCCCCTCTCCTGCTCCGAGCCCGCCTCTTCCACTCACTCCTGCGCTTCTGCTCGGGCAGGCAGCCTCTGCAGTCTGTCACAGTTCCAACCGTTGTTGTCATTTTATTTCTAAGTGTTTTATCTGCTGCTTTTTCAAGTCTTCCATCTTCTTTTTAAAGCCTTTTATTCCTGGGTCATACTTCAGCACGTTCCTATTTTGTTAACGTTAAAATGCTCTGATTTTATGTTCTGTAACTGATCACCTAAGGTCTTTTCTTTAATGTAAATTTATTTATTTATTTATTTATTTATTTTTGGCTGCGTTGGGTCTTCGTTGCTGTGCGCGGGCTTTCTCTAGTTGCGGCGAGCGGGGGCTACTCTTTGTTGTGCTGCACGGGCTTCTCGTTGCAGAGCACGGGCTCCAGGCGCACAGGCTTCAGTAGTTGCGGCACGTGGGCTCAGTAGCTGTGACTCGCGGGCTCTAGAGCGCAGGTTCAGTAGTTGTGGCGCACGGGCTTAGTTGCTCCGCGGCATGTGGGATCTTCCCAGACCAGGGCTCGAACCCGTGTCCCCTGCATTGGCAGGTGGACTCTCAACCACTGCGCCACCAGGGAAGTCCCTCACCTAAGGTCCTGCTGCTCCTAAATTTCTCTTAGTAGCTTTTCCTACTGTAACTTGTGAATTTTTAAAAATTGGGAGCAAATGTCCATTGGTACCAATCTCTGAGACCTAGACCTAAGGTTCTGGGGCGATCTGGCTTTGCTTCTGCCCTGCCGCCAGGCCATGCTGGCTTGGGTCCCCTGCTGGGTGGTAGCAAGGAGCCAGCTGTGGCTGGGAACCCTGGGGGGGTGGGGGGCACGGTCAGGGTTCTTTCCTCCACCCAGAGCCACAGCCCCGAGGACCCAGGTGGGGATCCCCAGGAAGCCTCCAGGCTCTGTCTCCTGCCCCCAGCCCCACCAGCACGCATGCAGCTGCCATCGTGGGCACAGAGGTGTGTCTGGGCTGCGTGGCTGCAGGGCGGCAGCCCCATGACCTCAGTTGGGAGAAGCCTGTTCCGGATGTGCCTTAGAATCGCTCCTTAAAATAAAGTTCTGCCCAGGAATCCGAGGACCTCGGAGGCAAAGCCCTTCCGGTCTGTGGGACCGCTCCCGAAGTGGACGGGCCGCTGCAGGACGGTGGGCAGGCCTCAGGAGCACCCACCCGTGGGCGCCAGAGGGGCTGCGGGCTCAGGGCCCGTGCCGCTCACCAGCCCAGGGTCCGGCCAGCCAAGGAAACACAGGCTGCAGCTGAACTTCAGGTGAACGGCGCTGCGTGCGTGAACACAGGTGCACGCAGTCTTAGCGTGTGCCGTCCGTTCATCTGAAGTTCAAGTGTGCGGGGGGCCGGCAGCCCTCGCCGGGGCCGGGACGGGGTGGGGGCAGGCAGCCCGGAACGGACGCCCGAGGTGGGGCCGCTGCAGATGCTGTGTATCTCACCCCTCAGTGAGGACAACGTCCCAGACCCCAAGGATGTGAAAGCGGAGTTCCACGGCAGCCTCGTGGCGGCGCTGCGCGCGTCTGGGCCGCACTTCCTGGCCTACTTCGGCTCCTTCGCCACGGTGGGCCTGCTCTGGTTCGCCCACCACTCGCTCTTCCTGCACATCCGCAAGGCCACGCAGCCCATGGGCCTGCTCAACACGCTCTCGCTGGCCTTCGTGGGCGGGCTGCCCCTGGCCTACCAGCAGACGTCGGCCTTCGCGAGGCGGCCCCACGACGAGCTGGAGAGCGTGCGAGTCAGCTGCGCCATCATTTTCTTTGCCAGCATCTTCCAGTTCGCCATCTGGACCGCGGCGCTGCTGCAGGAGGGGGAGACGCTGCAGCCCTCGGTGCGGTTCGGCGGCCGGGAGCACGCGTTCATGTTCGCCAAGCTCGTGCTCTACCCCTGTGCCAGCCTGCTGGCCTTCGCCTGCACCTGCGTGCTGAGCAGGTTCAGCACGGCCATCTTCCATGTCATGCAGATCGCCGTGCCCTTCGCCTTCCTCCTGCTGCGGCTTCTGGTGCGCTTGGCGCTGGCCGGCCTGCAGGGCCTGCAGGGTCTGGCCCGGCCCACACACACCCGGCCGGTGCCTGGGGCCACGGACGACGCGCAGTCCCCGCTCCTCCCTGCTCCCTGCTAGTGCGACCCCGGTCCCCCGCCTGAGGTCCAAGTGTCCGGCTGGTGGCCCGGCCTCGGGTTTTGTTTTCCTTGTGAAGTTTCACGCTCTACCTCAGTCCCTCAGATTGTCTTCCACCGTTGCAGACAAGAGTGTCACAGGAGTGTCACTGTGTCCCACGTGCCTGTTGTCTGCCTCGACCTAGTGGAGATTAGCCGCGGGGGGGCGGGGGGGGGCCGCAGGCAGCGGGTGGTTCTGGGACAGCTGGGGCCACAGCCCCGTGGTGGGTGTGGGTGTGCGATGTGGCCCGGGTCCTCAACAGGCAGCACGGCCCGCAACTCAGCCCACGTCCCGCAGGCAGAGGGCCCTGGCAGCTGCTGGGCTGCCCAACCGGCCCCCACATCCCAGACCTCCTCCCCCAACACACTGGCCTCAGGCGCAGACGCAGGAGACGGCAGCAGGACAGGACACCCAGACTGTATTTGTCCCAGATATAAATTACGGTCACTTTTAGGTGATAAGTTACACATTGGCGGGGGGGGATGCAGAGCCCACACGGCCCCTCCGGGCACACAGACTCACACACGCACAGAGGACACGTTCACCTGAACCATAACTTACAAGACGGTCCACATTGACCAACGGGGCCCGCAAAGCAAAAGCTGATGCCACCCCCGGGGACGCAGACCTGGGGGACACACAGCGGCTACTAGAGGCACGTGGCGAGGACGGGCCGCCACCCACGGCTGTGGCCTTCGCCTGCACCTGCGTGCTGAGCAGGTTCAGCACGGCCATCTTCCATGTCATGCAGATCGCCGTGCCCTTCGCCTTCCTCCTGCTGCGGCTTCTGGTGCGCTTGGCGCTGGCCGGCCTGCAGGGCCTGCAGGGTCTGGCCCGGCCCACACACACCCGGCCGGTGCCTGGGGCCACGGACGACGCGCAGTCCCCGCTCCTCCCTGCTCCCTGCTAGTGCGACCCCGGTCCCCCGCCTGAGGTCCAAGTGTCCGGCTGGTGGCCCGGCCTCGGGTTTTGTTTTCCTTGTGAAGTTTCACGCTCTACCTCAGTCCCTCAGATTGTCTTCCACCGTTGCAGACAAGAGTGTCACAGGAGTGTCACTGTGTCCCACGTGCCTGTTGTCTGCCTCGACCTAGTGGAGATTAGCCGGGGGGGGGGGGGGGGGGGCCGCAGGCAGCGGGTGGTTCTGGGACAGCTGGGGCCACAGCCCCGTGGTGGGTGTGGGTGTGCGATGTGGCCCGGGTCCTCAACAGGCAGCACGGCCCGCAACTCAGCCCACGTCCCGCAGGCAGAGGGCCCTGGCAGCTGCTGGGCTGCCCAACCGGCCCCCACATCCCAGACCTCCTCCCCCAACACACTGGCCTCAGGCGCAGACGCAGGAGACGGCAGCAGGACAGGACACCCAGACTGTATTTGTCCCAGATATAAATTACGGTCACTTTTAGGTGATAAGTTACACATTGGCGGGGGGGGATGCAGAGCCCACACGGCCCCTCCGGGCACACAGACTCACACACGCACAGAGGACACGTTCACCTGAACCATAACTTACAAGACGGTCCACATTGACCAACGGGGCCCGCAAAGCAAAAGCTGATGCCACCCCCGGGGACGCAGACCTGGGGGACACACAGCGGCTACTAGAGGCACGTGGCGAGGACGGGCCGCCACCCACGGCTGTTCCGACGCACGTGTCTGGACAGTTTTGGCACGAGCTTGGTGGGTACAGGGCTGGGCAGGGCCATGTCCGAGGTTGGGGCCAGATGTCAGGGCAAGGCCACCACCCAGGGTGCGAGGGCCCAGCAGCAAGACAGCGCCAAAGGCAAAGAGACCAGGCGATCAGGAGAGGGGCTTGTGGACCCTTCTCTGGGGCTTTGGGGGCTCCCAGGCAACTGGGGCCGGGCTCTTCTGGGGGCCAGGTTGGGACTCTGGGCCGGCTAAACTCGGGGGCTCTGTGGTAGGGGCTCTGCGAGTGGCCCGCCAGCCACGTCTGCATCCTGTTTCGCCAGGTCTCCGCGTGGAGAGACCATACGAGTCCCGTCTGCCCAGCAGTGGGCACGGCACCCGTGCGCTGACTGTCGGCAAATGGGAGGCCGAGTGCCGCGATGCTCACGTGCCGTGTCGGCCTTGCTGATTAGAGCCGCTCCCGCTGCACGCTCTCCGCACTTCCTCTGGGCCCCCAGCCAGGCTCCTGCTACCTCCTGGGCACCACCTGGCCCCCTCGGGGCCCTCCCGTCCCAGCCCCGTCACTCCGGGGCCACCAGCCAGGTTCCGACTGGGCCGGCCAGACACCACCCGGGCCTGGAGCGGTACGTCCCCCAGGACAGCCCTCGGTGGAGAGGTGAGGCCAAAGAGCTAGTGGCCAGGTGTCCCGTGTCTGTGCTGGGCAACCCCAGGGTCCAGGGAGCCAGTTGCCCTGTAGGAGCATCCAGGGGGACAGCCCCAGGGGCATGAGGTGAGATACAGCGCTGCCTGGCTGAAGGGGTCAGAGGTGGCAGAGGGACCCGGGGAGGAGCGTGTGCCCTCCAGGACAGTGGCCCGGGCCCCAGAGAGCCCCGTGCCCACCCATCACTGGGACGAAGGCCAGAGGAGAAGTGCCCACTACCCACCCAGCAGTTTGTGTGTGGCACGGGGACAGGACAAGAGGGAAACACCCAAGGGCAGGGCCGTGGGCGAGTACATCCACCAGCGAGCGCTGCTCCAGGACCCGCCTCTACTTGGAGTCCCCCTCAGGGGCAGGCGCCCCATCTGCTCGCACATCCTTGGGGGTCCCCGCCTTCCTGGGCTTCTGCTTGGCCTTCCTGAGCATGTGGACCTGTCCCGAGACAGGCAAGGTCTGAGGGCTGTGCAATACTGCAGGCCACCGGGTGCCGGGTCCTAGGACGGCCGCTGCCATCTCAGCCCATCTTACAGAAGGGGAAAGAGCGGAGCGTGGTGTGACCGCTGCTTGTGGGGAGGGGCTCCCTAGGGGCTGGCCGGCCTCATCCAGCCTCACGACCTCCCCGCGTCAGGGAAGAGAACCAGCCGCGGCAGGACCGCCGGGCGCCCAGGCCACGCCGGCCACTCTGCACAGCCGAGGCCTGCGGGCAGCGAGCCCCCCGCCCAGCCCACGCCTGGCGTACCTTCGGGCCTGCGGCCGAGATGATCATGTGCCCGGGAGCCTGGACCCAGGGCTCGCCGTCCACCTGCACAGGTGCGGCCTTGAGGAGGGTGACACGGAAGTAGGACCCCTGGGCGATGCGGATGCCGGAGCGCAGCCCACCCTGGACCTGACCCTGGTGGGGGAGAGGGGGAGCCACGCTCAGCGGGCCGCAGCGCCACAGCCCGGCCCCCCAGTCCCCCGCCCCCGCGCTCACCATGTGCACGACGCCCGTCACCCCCACCACCTCCAGTAGCCCGTCGTCCATGCGTGGCTTCTCGAATCTCGAGTCACTGTCGGAGCCCCACAGGTCGGCCCCCGAGCCCCAGCTGCACCAAGAGGGAGGGCACACAGGTCAGAGTGAGGCCGGACAGAAGGCCAGAGGGGGCCGGAGCCCGGGCGCCCCATGTGCGGGCACCTGGGGATGTTGATGAAGATGAGCCCCTCGATGCTAGGCAGCGGCACCTCCTGCTGCCCCGCCTGCAGCCGCAGGGCCCTGTGCAGGCCGCGGGAGCGGCTCATCTTCTGCAGCCCGGCCCGCACGTACACGCCCTTGTTGTGGAACCTGGCGGGGGGACCTTCAGTCACGGGGCGAGCCCCCAGGAAGTACACGGTCGCCAGGGGCAGCCCCGCACCCACCCCTGCCCTGCAGCACCTGCTCGTGAACTTGCCGGGCTCTTCCTCTCGTGCCTGGTGGAAGTCCAGGCTTAGCTCCGCGTCGATGCCAATCCCACAGTAGTTACTCATGTGCACGATCTGAGGACAAGACGCGTTGTCCCTTGGCCCCGGCCGGCCCCCACCATGTGCTCCCCGCCGCCCCCGCGGTGGGCCTGGCCTCCTGTCGCAGAGCTGATCTGTCCGGTGACTGCCCCACACTCAGGTTCTGAGCCGGCCATCCTCAGGCCCGGCACCCGTGTCCACGAGGGGACAGCGCTGGCGCCAATGCCAAGGCATGGCTGGGACGAGGACGAACACCTGGACGGACGTGGTAGAGACGCCAGCCGGGTGCCACATCCCCGCCCGGGCACACCGGTACCTTGGGGGGCTCTGCGTCTGCCATGCTGTTCTCCCCACCGCCGGCCTCATGAGCATCCAGCAGGATGGTCCAGCGGTCCACGAGCACGGCATCCGCCTCGTCCACCGACACCAGCACGGAGAACGGGTCCTCTCCACTGTAGCCCGCCCCCCAGCGAAGGACCCGGCCAAGGTCATTCCCTGGACAGCGGCAAGACACACGCTGACTCTCCACACCCACCCCTCGCCCCGCCAAGCCCGGGGCCCCATCCCCCAACGTGCCAGCTGACCCCACCTGTGCCCAGGGGCAGGATGGCCACGGCAGGCTCTGGGCAAGCCAGGCGGTGCCGCATCTCCTCCAGGGCGGCAAGCACCCAGCCCACGGTGCCGTCCCCGCCACACACCAGCACCCGGAAGCAGGGCACCTGGGAGAACACGTGGAACCTGGCGGCAGGGAGACAGGACGTGTCCCGGCACTGGCCACGGCCGCGAACAAACAGGGACAGGAGGTCACCCCCGGGGCAGAGGGGGCCGCAGCTCAGCCCCACCCAGGGTGCCCTCGAGGGTTCCAACCCACCAAACCCCAACCTGTTCCTGCTGGCCGGGGGGCGGGCATGGGCAGGCACCCCTTCTGGCAGGCTCACCCAGGCAGCGGCCCCCCGTTGGTCAGCTCAAAGACCTGGTGGGGGTTGAGCAGCTTCCGGAAACTGCAGAGCAGTTCGCGGCCCTTGAGGCCTCCGCTTCTGGGGTTCACAAACACCAGCAGAGGGCGGCAGTCTGGGGGCAGCTTCAGGTGCTGACGGATGGGACTGCGTTAGGGCGGGCTGGCCGGACCCCCAGACACAGAGCCGGGCCTCCCCCAGCACGCGGCCTGGCAGTGGCGGCCCCTGCCCCTCAGCCCACCTGCCTGAGCCAGTCTGGGGCCGGCCCCTCCAGAGGAAGGCCACGCGGCCACCCCACCTCACCACTGCCTGCTCGGGCTGCATCCCACAGCAGAAGGGGTGCCCACAGACCCCTGGCCGGTGGGGCGGGAAGACACTGGCCAGCCTGGAGCTCTGAGCCCATCGGCCACGCCACAGCTGCCACGCCAGGTGGCCTCAGACCATGCCCGCCGCCAGACCCACGTGGCCCGGGAGCCTAGGCTGGAAGCCCACGCAGGACCCCGCCTGCCCCTCTCAGAGCCAGCCCGCTGCCAGGCCCCCGCCCACCCACACAGCAGTCAGGAGAGGCAGCCCGGCTCGCAGGGCGGCCCCAGGCCTCCCCTGGGCCACGGGACAAAGCCCGCCCCCAAACACAACGGCAGAAACAGCGCCCGCGAGAGCGGGCAGGGAGCAGGGGTCCCCACGTGGTGAGGACGGGGGCTGGGGTCCCCGCGACGGGGATTGCTGCGTGACAGGAGACAAACAGGCGCAGACACAACGGGCAGCGGCCGCACACGGGCTCGGCCGTGGCTCAAGGCCGAGGACACACTGGGGTGACGTGTGAGCCACCGGGCCGAGCTGCCTGCGGTCACCACTTACCTGCTCAGCCCAGGGCAGGCAGCTGCCGGGAGAGAGAAAGTGCGTGTCGGCATCACCCACCCGTCTCTGCCCGTGGAGCCGGCGGAGGGGGACCCTGACCTGCAGCGGCCGCCTCGTCGTCTGGGTGGTAGGACAGGGCGGCAGAAAGCTGAAGGTGTGGCTCACCCAGTCACAGACCCTGGGCTCATTCTGCTCTAATTCTGCTTGGCCTGAACTGGGGTCCGGCCACCTCGGGGGGTCCTTGGGGGCCAGCAGGGCCAAGGACCAGAAGCTATACTAGGGCACACAGCACAGGGCGGGGTCCGGGGCACTGCTGGGGCTTTGGGACAGCCTCCAGGGTCAGGGAGCGTCACCTACTGGCCAGAGGAGGCCCAGGGTGCGAGCAGGGCTCCAGAGGCCTCCACGGCAGGAAAAGCGGGGCCGGGGCCCACGACCCTGCGAGGGCCGCGCACACAGTCACAAACACAGGCCAGCCCTGAAGAGGCGGCCGCTGCAGGGCCAGTCAACCGGCGTGCAGGCCTCTCACCATCGGACCTCGGGCCCCTCCCTCGGTGTGAATCAGCCGTGCACACAGACTCGGACTTTGCTCCAACTGACCAGGTATTAGGCAAACTGGCCATGGAAGCTATGGCCCTAGGCCCCGCCCCGGCGCCACTTACCAGCACATCCGGGAGCACCAGGGCGGTCAGCGGCCGGCCGCGCACAGCCGTGTCCCTGACCAGCATGTACAGCCGCTCGGCCTCCGCAAAGCAGGCCACGTCCAGCACCACGGCACCTGTGGCAGGTGGGCCGTGAGCTCGGTTACTTGTCCTGCCGCCACCCACACGGTGTCTGAGCTGGGGCCTCACCTCCTCCCGCGGCCGAATGGCCCCAGTTCTGGCCACGGCCCACCTCAGGCCAACCCATCCCAAGGCGTCCCCGCAGTGCGTGACTCCCTCCCCCGGGGGGAGCCTCCAAGGACAGCCGGGCCCAGAGACAGGAGATGCTGGGTGGCCAGAGCAAGGCCACCTGGAGGCAGGGTGGAGCAGACCCGCACCCCCCCAGGACCCGCGAGAGGCATGGAGGACGTTGGTAACTGCTACGGACCCACAGAGAGGAGATGGGCCTCACGGTACTGTTCTCCCACTGGGGAGATCCGAAGTTTCCCGCCATAAAAGATGGAACCCGTGAGCACAAGAGGTTGTGGAGAAAACATTCTCTGCACCTCAGTCATGTTTCAGCAAGAGCATCACAGCCGTGAACCAGGAAGTGAAACACCACCGTTTCCCCGGCCCACGGGTCCCAAACAAGGTGAAGCAAGAGGGCAACGCTGCTCCAGCTACTCCAGGGAGTGACCTCGGACCCAACCTGACCACAACCCGTGGGGGCTCACCTTGTGTGGAGTAGACGTGGCTCACGGACACCAGGCCAGCTGCAAAGGCGGCGGGGGCGGGGCGGCACACTGCGGTCGGACGCCAGGGACCTGCCCCCCAGGCCCCCGACCCAGGGCCGCCACCCCAGGCAGCCCCACCCGGCCCCCCAGGCCAGGAATAAGTTCACACCACCCAAGAGCGCAGCTCTCCCAGGAAGTACCCCCCAACTCCAGGCACAGGGCACCCCCCAGGGCCCAGAGCAGGAGACCTCCTCGGAGGAGGTGATGGCGTCTGGGCCCCAGAGGTGAGGACGGAGACCCTCTGGGCCAGGAACCAGCTCGGCAAAGGCTCAGCCAGTGCTTGGGGGGAGCGGGGCAGCAGGGGGACGCAGCCATGGCCCGGCAGCCCGCACACCCGCCCTGCCCCCCACCTGGCCAAGCGCCCCGGACCAGCCCAGGCAGTCGCACCTTTGCTGGCCACAGCCTCGTCCAGCAGACTGCTATACTCCTGGGGGGACCGGCCAGGGGGCAGACCACCCACGAACAGAGAGACGCGTGGGGCCACCACTCTGCTCTCAGCCACGTAGAACCGCGTCTGGCTCATCTGCCGCAGGGACGTCTGCGGGGAGGGGGGAACGCCAAGCAGAGCACTAGGTGACGGGACTCCCCACCCCCCGTCCACCAAGGGGGCCGAAGGGAAGACGCCCCAGGCTGAACGCCGCCGAGATGGGAAAGGAGAGGAGAGAAAGGACACACGGGGAACTTGCGAAGGGGAGGCACTGCTGGCCGGGACGCTTAGCTGCCCGCCAGCATGGCCTTGTGTCCTAAGGGCAGACAGACTCCCTCTCTACGAGGTAGAAGCCATGGCCAAAGGCCAGCCGTTCCCCAGGGGCCAGTATCCACACCCACTGACCTGCCGGATCTCACGAAGCCGGTCAAGCAAGGGCTCGTCGTCCGCCAGCACCGTGCGCTGGACTGCAGAGTTGAGAGACACCACTATTAGCCCCAGGCCCTGCGGCCACCTCCAAATGCACCTGCCCTGGGACCCCCGGCGCCTAGGGGCAGGACTGGTCAGGGCTCTGACGACAGGCTGCCCGCTCACCTTGCCTGCTGCCCATGAGTACCTCCACCAGCTGGAAGCTCTTCAGCCCCTCGGCCTGTTGGGGTGGAGTTCAGGGCATCAGGCCTGGACCAGCCCTAACGCCCCGCCCCCACCCCCCGCCTCCCGAAGACCCACACGGGGCCACCACGCCAGGCAGGGCGGGCCCAGCACACATACCTGGAGCCCAAGCAGCGGGAGGACCTCCAGCACCACAGTCCGGGCAGTGCTCCGCGGGGTCACACGCATGGACACGTAGGCCACACCCACCCTGCAGGGGACAAGCTCAGGAGCTGGGGTCGCACAGCCCCCACCCCTCCCTCCCTCCGCGGACCCTACCGGGGACCTGGGTCTCACTTGAGCCAGGCAGGGTAGATCTTCAGGACCTCCTGGGTGCGGGGCAGAGCGCGAATGATCCAGGCCTCGGGAACGCGAGTGATGCTGGGAGCGTCTCGGGCCCCTGGGCCTCTACTGCCCTCCTCCTCGGTGGCCCCACCGCTCCAGGCCTTTCCCGAGGCGCCGGTGTCGCCAGCCAGAGCGGGTGCAGGGAGCGCCTGCAGCTGGAAGCCCTGAGGGTCCTCCGTAATGTAGTAGGCCCGCAGCGCCACCTCCTTGGAGGGGGTGGGGGTGGGCGTGAGCGGAGCCAGGCCACGCTGGGTCCCCGCAGCCCCCCAGGGGCGGGCCTGCGAGGCGGCTGCGGGGTCCCTCTTACCAGCACCTCCTGACTCTTGGCCAGACGGGGGACGGTGATGGCACGAAAGTGGTTTCGCTGCACCGCGTCGTTGCCGTCAAAGATCTTCAGAGTCTGCTTGCCTGGGCCACAGGGAAGTGGGTGCAAATCCGTGGAACGAGGCACGGGATGGGGAAACGGGGCATGGGATGGGGGGCTGGGCACAGTTAAGGGGCACTTACTGGACTCTAGTGCCATCACCTCTCTACCTGCGCCGGCGGGGGCGCTCCCGTCCACGCTGTCTTCTCCCTCCCCTGTGGGACGGTCACAGCTGGCCTCAGTCAAGGCCCGGACCCCGCCCCAGACGCCCGCTCCCCGCCGCCCTGCTCACCGGGCTCAGGGGCCGTGCTCTCGGAAATCCGAAAGCAGTGCATCTTGCTGAAGTTGCGGGACAGCAGGCGCACGCACGCCGGCGGCAGCACCATGGTGCGCAGGCGCCCGAAAGTGCACTCGGGGGCGAGAGCCGCGGAGCAGAGCGAGTGGGCCTGCGGGAGAGGGCACGGGCTCGAGCCTGGCGTCCTGGTACAGGAGAGGGCCTGGGTCCAGGCCGGCCCTCAGTGATTTCCCGGGGGGCCACGCTGAGCTCCCACGGGCCGGCGGCGCCACCCCCAACCAGAGAGAGCCCCGAGTCTCCCCTGCACAACCGAACCCCCACCCCAAAAGCCGGAAAACACCCCGATCCAAACGAGCTGTCCCCAGGACCTCCGCCCCCCATCCTGCTTTGCCACTGGACGACGCAGCCCGCCCCACAGGTCTTGGCCCCGACCTCCATCCCGCCCCGCCCCCAGGGCCCCCGCCCCCGCCTCACGCGGACTCGCGCCTCTCCCGCCCCGCCCCCAGGGCCTCCGCCCCGCCCCACCTGGACGCCGCACCACTCGCAGCGCACGCCGGCCAGCACGTCGGACGAGCAGCAAGTCTTTCGGCAGACCTCGCAGCGCGCGCCCGAGGGCAGATTTCCCTCGCGCCAGTGGTGGAGGTGGCAGCCCGCCCCACAGGTCTTGGCCCCGCCCCCCACCCCGCCCCGCCCCCAGGGCCCCCGCCCCCGCCTCACGCGGACTCGCGCCTCTCCCGCCCCGCCCCCAGGGCCTCCGCCCCGCCCCACCTGGACGCCGCACCACTCGCAGCGCACGCCGGCCAGCACGTCGGACGAGCAGCAAGTCTTTCGGCAGACCTCGCAGCGCGCGCCCGAGGGCAGATTTCCCTCGCGCCAGTGGTGGAGGTGCGTGTCCTGCGGAGAGGGCTGTCAGCAGGCTCGGCGGAGCCTCCCCCACCTCCCCGGCCCTCCGGACCCCGGCCCAGCGCACTCACGTGGTCCCGGTGCCCGTCCTGGTGGCACTGGCGGCAGTCGCTGCAGGCGAAGGGCACACAGTCGGGGTGAACGTGCAGCTCACACACTGGGGGGCGGGCAGGGTTAGGGGCCTCTCGCCGCTGCCCACCGGCCCTGCCAGACCCCTTCTCGCCGGCCTCTCTGCCCCCGTCTGGGGCCGCCCCTCCCCTGACCACACATTCTTTAACCTTTTGGGGTCCGACGTGCGAGACAGGAGCTGTCCCCCCTCCCTCGGCGGGATGGGGACCAGCTTCTCCGCTCCTCTCCCCTTCGGGCCCACCTCAACACGTAGCCTGCGCCCCTGCGGTCCCCTGCACCCGCCTCCGCGCCTCACCGCGTGGGCAGCTCCAGAATGCCCGAACCCCACCCTAGAGCTACCGCCTGACCGCAGGGAGGGCTGGGCCACCCTGGGCAGCAGAGGCCAGGTCCCTGGTGAGGAGGGAGTTAGACCCCAGAGGAGCCAGGCAGGCTCCTGGCGGTACCTTCGCAGCGAACCCCAGGCACCTCCAGGCCCTTTCGGCACACGGCGCAGAACCTGCGCTTGTAGAGCCCCCGGGGGCCGAAGCAGTGGGCCACCGGAACCTGGAAGGAGCAGAGCTCGGCCTCAGCCTGGGCCCTAAGGCCTGGCAACCGGGTCCCCAAGCCCCACTTCCTCTCTGTCCCAGGGAGCTCCCATCACCAGCCCTGGCCACCTGCCTGACCGCCATACACCCCTCAGCCCTCCCGAGCACGATTAACAGGATGCTGTGTGTGCCTCTCAGCCCCTCGGTGCTCCCAGGGGGTCCTGCTGGGGACTTCCCTGCATGCTGACCTCCCCATTCCCTGTGCACGACCAGCTCAGGGCTGCCTGGGCCGTGATCTCAGACAGCCCCCGCTGCAGCTCAGGCCCGGGCTGGTCCTGCCCCGGCCTGATCCAGCTGCACAGGTGCTGACCACTCCCCCAGGCCTATTCCCCTCTGTGCTACACTTCAGGCCACCCACATAAAGTGCAGGTGGAGAAAGCCCACCGACAGGCAGGAGGGGCGGTGCTGAGTATCAGGGACCCTGGAGAGGACAGGGTCAGAACCATCGGGAAGTGACGCCCAGCTGCTGCCCTGGGGGGGCGGGGCCCACAGGCAGGGATGCAGTCTGCAGCTCAAGGACCCAGACCACCACAAGGAAACACTCCCACCCCAGCCCCCCAGTGCTTGGGCCACTGCCCACCCCATCCGACATGCTGGCCTGACTCCCCACCACAAAAGCTGGCCTCCCTGACCCTCCGCACCCTCCCCCCGAAGGTGCAGCAGCCCGTGCTCCATACGCACGCGGACCAGGCTGGGCGCCACGCTCGCACACGGGGTCTTCACGTGCTTCAGACACTTCTCGTGGGACATGAAGTTGCAGACTATGGGAACGAGAGCCCCGTGAGTTGGCCCCCGTCCTGCCCAGGAATCAAAAGACCCCAGGTCTTGGCACGCGGGAGGGAGGCCGCAGCCAGGGGGACCGCCAATGGCCGTGTGGTAGGGTGCCAGCATTCTGTGACGGGGCAGATGGCCTATCACAGTGGGCCCACCCTCCCAAAACTTCCTGACCCCAACCCTAGTCATAGGGGTAGGGAGAGGGCATGGAGACAACCTGATCCTCTGTCCCACCCCCAGAGAGCCCAGAGCGGGGAGCAGGGCCCTGGTGGCTCTGACCGTCCTGGATGACGGTGTGTTCTGGTGTCCCGAGAGTCCCCCGTCCAGCGCCCTATACACACACGCACACAAAGGCCCAGGTCTTTCAAGTCTCTGCTGGGGGGGGGGGGCAGGCGGGCACTTGGCCAGCTCCTGCACCTCTACCTGCCCCCTACACCAGCTTCACCAGGGACACCCTTCCCTCACTCCCCACGACTGCATACACCCCTAATTACCCCTCCCACGCACGATGTGCCTGCCCAGACCACAGCCAGTCTGTGATAGACCAGGATCCCCCCAGCCCCCCGAAGCAGGCAGGGTGGCTGGCCCAATGAGGGCTGCACCTGCCCCGGCCCAGGGAGTACAGCCCAGAGGCTCCAACAGTGGTGAGCTATGCTCACAAGGCCCACAGGGGCAGCAAGGGGGCACCCTACCCATCCTGGGGAGGCATGGGGCCGGGTGAGGCACCCAGCCTGGCTCGGCTGCAAGCAGGCGGCACCCAGCTTCCCCCTCTGGCCCATGCAGATAGTCCCTGCTTCCCCCACGTGCCGGGTGCTCCCTGGCAGGGGAAGGGGCTCTTCCTCCCGTGCCCTCGTCAGGCCCCTCTGCCTGCTGAGGTCCGCGGCTCTCTCTGCAGAGTTGGGGAGGAGGCCCGCACAGCTGCCCAGTGAAGCCTCCACATCACCCCCATTTCCCTTCCACGGGCTTATTCACCGCTCAGACCCAGTGCCCACCTTCAGGAGGCCACACCCACGAGGGGGACCTGCCACTTGCCCTGGCAGAAGGCATCCTGTGTGAGGCGCCCAGTCTCCTCTGCAGGATCCAGCCTGAATGCTCCCTCTGTCCCCAGAGCCAAAGGCCCGTCTCCCTGAGCAGGGCAGAGGCTCCCCGCCCCGTCCCCTGCGGAAGCGAGCAGGATTAGAAGAGCCGACCCTGGCAGCACACGTGTCAGCTGCCCAGGAGCCAGAGGAGGGAGGGCCTCCTCACCCCGCCAGGCCGGCTTGGCGGCAGCGTGTGAGCCCTGTTGGGGCATGTCACACTCGGGGTGGCAGGCCTTGCCCAGCTCTCTGGGAGTCTGAGCCTGGGCATGGCCAGCACTCAGGCCCTGTGGGCAGCAGTGTGCACCCAGGAGAGAATGGGCCAGCACCAGCCCAGGGGAGCCAGTGGCCCAGGCCAGCCCTGCCTGGCCACACTGCTGCCCCTTGCACCTGCTCAGGGTTGGCTGGCCTCATCCGCACTCGCTGCACCTGCCCTGCGCTGCCGCGACGTTCTTTCCCCGCTGGATCCCAAGCCAGGTGAGGGCGCCTAGGGAGCAGATCTTTCCACCGGCCTGGGGGAGGGCCCGCGGCCACTGGACGCCCCCAGACGCCCGCAGGAGCTGGCCCTCATCACCTCCACGGGGAGGTCTGGGCCTGGCACACTCCTGCCCCGAGGGGCAAGGGGCTCTATCCTGGGGAGGCCATTGCTGGAAGTGCGGAGGTCAGAGGTGAGGTGCCCGTTCTGGCCCAGGTACTGGGGTCTGCGATGGGGTCGCGGGCGCTCACCGTCACACAGGATGCCGGCCAGCCCCCAGATGAAATCGGAGCAGAGGTGGCAGAAGGTGGGCTTGGTGAGCGTCACCTTCCTGAAGCTGTGACCCGGCGCGGCGGGGCCCAGGGGCCTAGCGCCCGCCCGCTCCGGCCCCGACCCCGGACCGGACCCCGGCCCCAACCCCCCTGTTACTCTTTCTGGAGCACCTCAGGGTTCAGCACTGGTTAGGAAATTAAAGCGCCTCTTTTGGTGGGTAATGAGGGTCAGGTCTCTGCAGGAAGGGGACACTCAGAGCCGGTTCCATCTGTAGGCCCCAAAGAGGAGTCAAGGGATGGGCCAGGGGGCTCTGGAGCTGCAGGGGACTGGCAGAGGAGGCCAAGAATCCCAGGGGCTGCAGGAGGCTGGGCAGGAGGTCGGGGAAGTTGCTCCTGGCCTAGGGACCTCAGTGAGGCTTGGAACCGGTGGCTCATGGCCACCAGGGATTTGAGATGCTGAAGCAGGGCTTGGCGGGGAGAGGGAGGCCCGGGGGGGGGGGGGGGGTGGGGCCTGCGGGGTGGGGGCGGGGCACGAGCGGGTCGGGCCTGCGGAGCAGTGGGTGGGCCGAGGTCCGAGCTCCGCGGCCTCCCGGGCAGGTGGATGGGTCTGGTGGCCCGACGAGGTCCAGTGGCCGGACGAGACACAGGCACACGACCTGCAGACACCGACTCGAGGTGTTTGCACCTGCGGCGCCCGGGCACGCGCCTGCGCAGACGGACGCCTCCCACGCGGCACCGGGATCCCGCTCGCGGCTGCTCAGGGCGACCCGGCAAACGTGCGGCACTGCCCCAGGTCCCCAGAGTGGGGTCTGGAGGCCAGGCCCTGCCCTAGGGGCCCCCGTCTGGAGTCAGAGGGGCGGGGAAGGGTTTGGGGTCTCGGGGTGGGGGGGGGTCCCAGGGTGAGGTCCGGGGAGGAGCCAGGCCCTCTGGGCCCCAGTCTGGGCGTCCATGGTGGAGGAGGAAGGCGATGGAGATGGCTCTGGAGCTGGGACGGCCTGTCTGCCCTGTGTGCTCCCACCAGCCGTGCATGGGCGGCTCAGTCTGCGGGGTCTTCGGACGCGTGGACCCTGCCCCGCCGCGAGCAACCCCCGGCGCCCGGCCCCTGCCCTCATCACAGACGGGGTGGTTCCTTTCAGGAGAAGCTCCCTCCCATCATCTCTCACTTGGGAAGCCCGAGGGGCTGGCATCCTCCCTTCTGGACCCCGACCTCGTGGGCGACCTAAAGCGACCCCACCCCGGGCCTCCCGGACCCTTCCCCGCTGTGAAAGACCCGCCCCCACCGCACTCCCAGGGAAGGCAGTGAATCCAGCCCTTGCCCTGCCCCCCAGCGTCGTCTCGAGGACGTGTGGGGGTCGCGTCCACGCGGGTCACCCTGCCCCATCGCCTGACAGACAGCGCTCCGGGGTCCCCGCCCCTGTGGGCCTGACCGCGGATTGCAATGCGCGTCGCCGAGCCGGGCGTCGTGGGCCACGGCGCTTCCGGGGGACCTGCCTGATCCCTGCTGCGTCGTTGTGGGCTGCCCTCCTTCGAGACAGGCCCCGGCACGGCAGGGTGAGCAGGGGCTGCAGGGCCCCAGAGGAGGAGGAGACGGGGCAGGGGACACAAGCAGGGTAGGATAATGTCCGGGGGAGGGCGTAGTAAGGAGGAAATGCCTGGGAGTATGTTAGGCCTGATGGGAGGGGCTGCGGAGGCGGGAGAGAGGGAGGGCGGGGCCAGGGACGGGCCCAGAGACCGGAGCCAACCCCTGAGGGTGGGGGGGACTGGGCTCCCAATCCTGTTGGAGCACCGGCTGTGCACCGGGGCGCTGGGCTGGCACCCCTGCCCACCCTGGGGCTGAGTTCTGGGGCAGACAGACAAGAGCAAACTGAAAAATAAGGCGGGAAACGCCACCTGGTATCTCAGTGCCTGGCCGCGGACGGACGGAAGGAGCCAGGACTGAGCTACCAGGAGGACAAACATACAAACAGGGGAAATGGGGTGCAAAGCCCCGGGGCCGTGATGTTGAAAAGGCAAGGACATCCCTTCGCCTGGGGCTCCCCAGACTGGGCCCCTGCGCCCTGGAGCATTTAGCTCACTGCCAGCCCCCTCCCTCCTCCCCACGCCCTGAGGCCACAGGGCCCTGACTGCCCACACTCCTCAGCAACCCCCAAGCAGCCCCAGGCCAACCTGCTTCTTGGCCCCGGCAGGGTTGTGACCCAGCCATGGTGCCTGTAAGAAGCAGAGGTTTCTATTGAAGCCCACTCCCCATAATTCAAAGCAGCTGATTTCTAAGGACGCAGGATTTCAGGACATATCTTTCTCCATTTGCGAGAAAGTGGAGTACAGGAAAAACATCTTGAAAAGAAAAGTCCACCTCTGACCATTTCCGCAGACTTTAACTGCTTTCTGATCCAGCATAGTAACTAAAATGGCAAACATACTTCCACCAAACTGTCCCCTGACCTCCTTGGAATACCTTCCAAAATAATTAGCAGCTTCTAGGTGAAGCTTAAATCTAAACCTCTGCTTGGGACACAGAATAAAATTCCAGACAGGCAACTTAAACAACAGACATTTATTTATCTTGGTTCTGGAGGCTGGAAGTTGGAGATCAGGGTGCTAGTGTGGTTGGTTCAGGTGAGGGCCCGCTTCCTGGCCTGCAGACACCATCTTTTGGCTGTGCTGGCACATGAGGGTGGGGACACTAATCCCATCATGGGGCCCCACCCTCATGACCTCATCCAACCCTAATTATCCTCAAAGGCCCACCTCCAAATGCCATTACATGGGGGCTAGAGTTTCAGCATATTAATCAGTGGGAGAATCAATGTTATTTAAGTCACCCAGCTTGTGGTGTTTTGTGTGGGAACCCAGGCAAACTAATGTACACACAGACCTGCCAGCCTTCCTGGAAGGCCCAGAAACAGCCAAGTCCTGCATTGTTTGGTGACTGGCCTGTGTCACCCAACGTTTTGTCTTGAGTTCCACTGAGGGTCTTTTTGTTGCTGCTCACGTCGCGGGCATGTGAGGGTCTGGTCCGCCGTTGGGGTCCTGCCTCTCAGTCCTTCTGCACCAGCGGGCTCGGGTGTTGGTGCCAGACTTTGGCTGTTATGGAATGTGCTTCTGGGAACATTCTCGTGCATGTGTTTGGATACCACACATACATGTCCTTGTGTCTGCTGAAGGAGGACGTGCTATGGTCACTTGTAGAAAATAATGCCAAACAGCTTTCCAACAATGCACACAAAAATAAAAGTTCATATTCCACCAGCAATGTGGGAAACTTTGGCCAACCCTGGACACTAACAGTGTCACAGTTTCAGCCTTTCTGGTCAGGGTGCAGAGGTGTCTGCGGCTTTGGCTCTTGTCCGGTGGTGGTGGTGAGAGAGGCCTGCAGCTCGTCCTGGATCTGTCTGTCGTCTGCAGCTCTTCCTGTGAGGCTTGTTTAGATGCCTCGGTCACCTTTCTATTGAGCGTCTTTTTCTTATTGATTTGTAGGAGTTCTTTATGTATTCTGGAGGTGATTCTTTTATTGGTTACGGTCAATTGTCAGTATTCTCAAAGTCACGCTCTATGTGGTCTCCGCAAGCGCTCACCCGCCGCTCCCGGGAAACACCGGGCTGCTTCCTGCCAGCCTCTCGTCACGGCGTTTTCCCCGATGGGTCAACACAGAAGACCCCTTAGTGAACAGACACCGTCGATGGCTCGTTAAGCACTGACCCGGCCGGCAGCGCTGTCCCTCGGGCCGGACGGAGCTTGCCCGGCACACGGGTTCCTCCGCGGGGCACGTCCTGGCCTCGCGCGCTCAGGACTCTGGATGTGAAGAGTCCTCGGCCGGGGGCCGCGGAAGCCGCAGAATCACCACCGAAAGCACAGGAGCGGAAATGCGGCCCCGAAGGGGCAGGAAGAGGCCTCGCTCACGCGTGAGCCGAAGCGAGAAGGCAGGGCCCGTCCATCCGCGCACGTCCATCCGCGGACGGCCTCGAAGGCGCCGCGAGCGTTGCCGACGGTGGGACGAGCGGGCCTTCGCCAGCAGGCGGACTCGCAAAGACAGGCTCCGCGAATATTGGGAGGGACCGTGTCTGCATCCCCCCCCACACCTGGCTGGTCCTGCCACCCGCTCAGTGGTGGCTCTCAGTGAAGGCCTTCTTTGTTTCCTCTCGGCCAGCTGGGCAGCCTTTTCCCTTCTGGGGAGGGCCTTTGAGTCCTACGCCACGAGCACCTGCCCGCCCTGAGATGGCGAAGATGCCCGAGTCTCAGGAAGAGGGCGGCGTGTTGTGCAGCCTCGGGCGCATCTCCACTTGGCCGATGTACCACCAGGTAAATGTGGGGCTGGGCCTGCCCAGGTGTGGGGCAGCCTGAAGTCAATGGGACTCTCTTTAAGAAAAAATGCAGAATTATTTTGATAAAATTAGAAACACACTTATTCAGAATGAGAGAAAAAATCACAACAAATTAAACATGAAAAATATCGATAAATGGCACAAACATCACAAAATCTAGAAAAAGCCCACACCTTTTATTCATAACTGCCTGCTACTCCACTGTGACTCTTTTTTCATCCACGTTCTTAAAAAGTTGTTTGTCCCTGCTGTGTGGCTTGTGGGATCTTAGTTCCCCAACCAAGAATTGAACGGGGGCCCTCGGCAGTGAAAGCCCAGAGTCCTAACCACTGGACCGCCACGGAATTCCCTCATCTACATTTTTAATTGTCTCTTTTTATAACAATTTTGCAATATCATTGTCCAGGGAGAAAAGAAAAAGATAATTTAGTCCCTCCAGCATAACTGATTGAAAAAAATTGTCACTGCTATTTTACAAGACTTTCCGCTTGACAACTCGTTACTGGTTATATCGCATACGTTGTCAGGACCACTGTCACAGCTGGAGAGAACTTCGTCAAGTTTCTTCCATAAGCTGGGAAGCCTCAGGGTCGTGTGCTTTTCCTGGGCCATGACTAATCTAAAATGTCCCTGCTGACCTGACGAAAATTCTTACATCATGTCCTTGTCACATTGGCTGTTAGGGTCCACGTTATCTTGTCAATGTCAGCGTTTCCTGTTAAATCAGCGGATGTTTAATCCTTTTCCAAAAGTTAGGGTGATTCACTCCTTCCTCCTGGTTAGTTGCCACGGGTGTTCCTGGAAGCTGTTTTCTATGCCAGGATGTCTGGCAGTAACTTCCTAACCAAGTGGCTGGGGAAGACGTGTGTTCTCCACTGACCCCCAACCCACGTTCCCACAAATCAACTTCCCCTGGGCCAGATCCCGAGAGTGCCACCCCCAGAGCCACTCCAGCCAGAGGGGAAGTGTGACGGGGGACCTGAGAGAGTGTGGGAACTGCTGTGGTCACGTCCTCACTTAGCAAATGTTACAAAACCTTCTGGGCATATGAAGGCCCTGTGTGAACCCAGGCGACTGCATGGACCCACAGCCTCCCTGTGGTGCCTGTGTCCATCTGTGCCCAGGGCCCCACTGTCCCCACCACTCTGGCGTCATAGCCCCTGTCTCCATAGCAGAAGCCCCTGCGCGTGTTCAAGGTGTGGGCGGGACCACATTCCCTCCGCTCGGGCTGCTGGCCTCCAGCTGCTGGAGCCAAGTTCCTGGCATTCCTCAGCAGAGCTGCACCTTTGCTCTAAAATCTGTGCCCAGGGGGCTTCCCTGGTGGCGCAGGGGTTAAGAATCCGCCTGCCAATGCAGGGGACACGGGTTTGAGCCCTGGTCCAGGAAGATCCCACGTGCTGTGGAGCAACTAAGCCCGTGTGCCACAACTACTGAGACTGCGCTGTAGAGCCCACGAGCCACAACTACTGAACCCGCATGCCACAACTACTGAAGCCCGTGCGCCTAGAGCCCGTGCTCCACAACAAGAAGCCACCTCAGTGAGAAGCCCACGCACCGCAACGAAGGGTAGCCCCTGCTCGCCGCAACTATAGAAAGCCCGCGCACAGCAACGAAGACCCAACGTGGCCAAAACTAGATAAATAAAATAAAATAAAATTTGTGCCCAGGATTTGTTTTAATCACCTATGGTAAGGTGACAGAAATGGAGACAACTGCCTTTGAAGGAAGAACTTTTTTTTTCAGTTTTTATTTATTTAATTTTACATCTTTATTGGAGTATAATTGCTCTACAATGGTGTGTTAGTTTCTGCTTTATAACAAAGTGAATCAGCTTTATGCATACGTGTATCCCCATATCTCCTCCCTCTTGCATCTCCCTCCCACCCTCCCCATCCCACCCCTCTAGCTGTTCGCAGAGCACTGAGCTGATCTCCCTGTGCTATGCGGCTGCTTCCCACTAGCTAGCTATTTTACATTTGGTCGTGTGTATATGTCCTCGCCACTCATTTCTTCCCAGCTTCCCCTACCCCCCACCCCGCGTCCTCAAGTCCATTCTGTACGTCTGCCTTGAAGGAAGAATTTATTATTCACATTTCTCAAGAGAAGGGGCCACCCCCTTCCATCAGGAGCATAGGTTTGGGTCAGGAGGCAGAAGCAGAAGTGAAGAGAACATGGCCCAGAGCCTTAACTGGGGTTTTCACAGGAAGGAATGGGTGAGGCAGCACAGGTACACATGGCAAATTTAGGATTGGACAGTTTGAATAATTCTGGCAGGGCTGAGCGCTAGGGGCAGTGCTGCTTGCCCAGTGCCCAGCCCTGAGGGGGCCTGGGGCAGGGGGCACGTCGGCACAGTGGGTGAGAGTGGCTCACTGTGGGGGGGGGGGGCTCAGCACTGAGAGGGCTGTCTCTCCAGGACCAAGGCCCCAAATGCCAGAGCACCAAGAATACAGAAAATAAGGGAATATAGCCAGTACAGTCAGAGACAGATATGGGGTGGGGGGCGGATAGAAGGAAACCGTTCTTCCCTGCTTAGAGATACAGGCCAGGTTTTTTATTTTATTTTATTTTATCTTTGCGGTACGCGGGCCTCTCACTGCTGTGGCCTCTCCCGTTGCAGAGCACAGGCTCCGGACTCGCAGGCTCAGCGGCCACGGCTCACGGGCCCAGCCGCTCCGCGGCACGTGGGATCCTCCCGGACCAGGGCGTGAACCCGCGTCCCCGGCATCGGCAGGCGGACTCCCAACCGCTGCGCCACCAGGGAAGCCCTAGGCCAGGTTTTATTTGAGGAAAAACAGGCTTTTGTTTAAGAGAAGGAAGAGGGAGAAGGGCTGACGGTGCTGCCAGAGGGTCCCTGGTCCTCTTACCAATCAGAGACGGGGATGAAAAGCCCAACAGAACAATAAATGAAAAGGGAGAAAAGGATGAAAGAAAAAACCAATATAAGGGCACAGAGCGGAGGAAATAAGGCCTAGTTCTGCCTGTTCTTTTCCCTGTAAAATTAGGGGTCGCTCACGGTGGAAAACCATGCCGCGCAGCTGTGGTCCCACTGTTAGGGCTCCACACCAGAAATCCAACACTACTAACACCACAGCCTCCACCGACCAGCGACCAGACACTTTGCTCAGTGGGTGCCTCTTCCCACCGTTGGCTCCACCCTGAAGGGACGGCCACGCCTCTCCAGGCCACCCTGGCACCTGGCCGCCTTCCAGCACGCACCGTCCTGGCAGGCGAGCCCTTGGCCAACCTTGACCAACGGCGGACGCTTTTCTACAGGAGCACAGGTGTGGCCTCACCGATGACGTCCTCCTCCAAGGACAGCCACTGGACACACAGGTCCAACATCTTCTAGTCCTTGTTGAGTTCTGGTGGCCACATATTCTTCCCGCAGACCCCCTGGCTACCTGGGGAGCCCCTCGGGATGACCTGAGTGGCAGCAGCGGGAGTCCGTGGACTGTGCGAACAGCTACCCCATGTGCTGGGTCTCCTCTCGTGCCTCAGCCCTGCAGACGGACGGACCCAGAGCTCAGCACACCGGCTGGACTTCACGCAGCTGTCTTAGCCGCGGGTGCCCTGAACAGTTGGCCCATCTGCACATTGATCATACACTGTCCAACCATCACCTAAAAATCGCCCCCTTCAGAGGTGAGAACTCTAGGAACCTCTTGTCTCACAGACTTCCAAATATATATTAAAATCACACGTTTCCACGTGCACTAAGGCCACGACGTGAGGTGTGGCCAGGACATGCTACACATGTCACTTCTCAAAGTATAGTCCCTGAGGGCTCCCGGAGGGCCTGTGTGACTGAGACAAAGACTGGTCTCCTCAAACACCCCTTTTCAAATTCCAGTCCAGCAAGTGGAACCCTAGATGGGCCTCTGTCTTGTCCCAGGCCTTAATCTCTCTTAATTCAAGGACCGTGGTTAACTCACACCTCACGCCAAGTTTCAAAGCATTTCCACTGCCCTCTCCTCTGTTAAAGGGGACCTGTCCTGCCTTTGGGCACTAAAGACCCTTTGCACATGAGGATACTTTAATAATGCCCATCCCCTCCCTCCGCCTCCCCATGTGGTCCTGCCTCCTATTTCTAGGGATCTGTGTCCGTCTGTCTAAGCACACATGATTAAAGCAAGTCCTGAGTGCAAATTTCAGGACGATCTTCAGATGGCTTTCTTTCTTCTGAAGTCACCAGGCAGCCTCTTTCATGTCAAATCTCCCTCTGCCTCCCCCTTACAAGGACACTCAGAACCCGCTCGGATGATCCAGGGTCATCTCCCTATCTCAAGACCCTTAACTTAGTCCCACCTGCAAAGTCCCTTCACGGTAGAAGCTCCCACTCAGAGGACGCGGGGGGCCAGCCACTCACACACCGTGTGCCCCTCACAACCCCTGGGCTACTACTGCTGTCCTATGTTTCAGTCTCTGGATATACTTTGAGCCCCACGAGATGTTATTATTGCCGTGTTACGTGTCACTCTTCCCTAGACTTATAGACAATAGACCTTTCTGCTACGTTTCCTTCCTTCCTGTCCCTCTGGGCTGCAAGGATCACCGTTCTTCTGGAAGAACACCAGTTACCGTTTCCGTAAAGGAGGGTCAGCGGTGACAAGTGTTCTCAGAGTTGGATTCTCTGAAGCATCTTTATTAGACCTCCATTTCAGAGCATGCTTTTTGCTGGATCGAGACGTCCTGGCTAACAGTGGTTTAGTTTGAAGTTTTCCTTCCCTTGGCTACTGGTTCTGGCCGCTTCTGTTGGAAAGTCAGTGTTCTTTCTTGCTGTTTTGCACTTTGAGGGTAACGGGTCCTTTCCCCCTCAAGCTGCTTTGAAGGCTTTCCCTTAAGCTTTGGTTTCAGCATTTCACTAGGACCCGCCTGGGTTCTGCTGCCTTTGTACTTTTCCTCGGGCTACGGAGCACGTCTTCATTCTGTGACTGGATGTCGTCCATCAGTTTTAGAGCTCCTCTCTCTTCAGCCCAAGGGACTGGTGACACTGGTTGACTCCGGGGCGGGGTTCTGCTGTCCGAGGGAGGACAGTGCAAGGACAGAGGCTCTTCCCCGAGTCCTGAGACGTTTGATTGGTGGAGGATGTGATGCTGTACGACCTACAGTCTATGTAGGTACACACACACGTAGTACATGTGCAGTTTGAAGCTTAAACATTCACCGCTGACCCCACCTCCCCCAACACCCAGGCCGCGCTGCCCATCTGCCCATAGAAATGTCCACTTGGCTTCTCAAAGGCAGCTTAGCCCCCTGACCACGCCCGTTGCTTTACAACAGCCCTCCTCTCAGAAAACGTCACATCCGCACGCTGCTCCAGCCAAATTCCTAAGAGCCACCAGTCCACCTTCAAATTGTGTCCCACTTCTGACCACCTTCCACTGAGCGGCCGCCTGACCCGCGCGTTAGGATGCTTGCCGGCCCGCGAGCCGACCTTCCGAAGCATTAACAGACGACGGTTTTCACTCGAGCGGCCGAAGGCCGAGCGCTTTCCGAGTGCCGCCCAGTCCCCGCAGTCTGCTCGGCGCGGGAGGGAACGGAGGGGAGCAAACTGCCGGGAAGGGGCTCCAGATTGGGGCGAGGGGATGGCAGCCTGAGGGCAGCTGGGCAGAGCCCACTGCCTTGAGAAGCGCTCCAGATGCCGGGGCTGCGGGAGCTCCCCGCCCCGCCACCCAGCCCC